AATGTAAACGCAGTTAGCATTTCCTTCTGATTCCTTTCCTTTGAGTTCTTCAATGCTTACGTTAACAGATATTTGTATCATTACACAAGTAAATGAAACATAGAAATAGTTATGTATTTATGACAAATGTGACAAATGAACAATATTTATTTGTGTGTACAGGAAATAAGGATCAGAGGAATTTACTTTCATTATCTTTGTTATATTATTAAGATTCAAAGCGCTCAAACGTAACGAGTAAATCAATGTATGTACGCAAAGTCACTTGGTCTCACTTGGTGCTCGTAAAATGCTCTGCGTGGCCGTAGTGCATTTTAGTCAGTAAGTATATCTTCGTTTAGTCTTTAACCCTGTGTGTGTCCCCACTTCGTGGCGGGGCCGGAATAACGCAGTAGAGGGGAATGAAAACTGGTGTGTGTGCGTGTGAATGCCAGCGTATGTTGCCTGTTACTTGCTTGACAGTGTGCGCACCCAAATGTGTATGTGTGTGTGTGTGTGTGTGTGTAAACACACGTAGCTTTTGAAAGGAAGAGACAGTTTATACCTCGAATATGCCCGAGTATTGGTGCAAATAGTTGCTTTGATGATTCATGCACATTTGTATTGTATGTGTATGTCAAGTGAATCATACAAGATAAGTTTGCATTGAAGATACAAGTCTGATGCTCAATTAAGTTATTCTTCATGTTGGAGGATGGAAGAGGAACCGATAAATCGCCCAAAGTGGCTACTGGAACTAGAAAATCGTAAGCAAAAGGTATATTTCAACATGTAATTTGATTTAATTTGATTCAAGAGATGGAAAAGGAATGTAACATAGATACCTATACAAAATTAAGATTGAAAGTTAACAATTGATTGTTTTACATTTGCTCAGCCACGTTTAGCACATGAAGCTGGAGCTGGTGCGCCATGCACAAACTGTAATTCCATGTGTCCTGGTCTTGATCTTCATTTCTGGAGAAAAATTTGCAAGAATTGTAAATGTGGTCGAGACGATCATGATGTTGATGACGATCAATTTCCACAATTTGATCTACTATTTGGATCAAGCGGAAAATTTAAAAAGAAATCCATGCGTAAGTATTTGTACGCGCGTGTGTGTGTACGTGCATGTGTGTGTGTGCGTGTGCGTGCGTGCGTGCGTGCGTGCGTGCGTGCGTGCGTGCGTGCGTGTGCGTTCATTAGAAAAATTGATCTTTAGGATTGCAAGTAAACAATAAGAAACAAAACGATGATGAAACTACATTCGAGTGGGTGCCGCCGGATACAACTAAAGAACTTGCTGTGGATTACATGAAAGCTTTGCCCATGGAGAAATTGCCGATTAAAGGATCAGTTGGTGCTGTTTTGAGAAGGCAGTTGTTGCAGAAACAACTACCGCTTCACGATATCGATTATAAAGTTTGTGATCAACTTAGCGAGCAAGAGCAGAAACAATTTGAAAAATATTTGGAAAACATAAAGAAATATGTAGGGCAAGGCAAAGTGACAAAAGTAAGTAACAAGGCAACTTGATTAATTATTGTTATAGATTTGCACTGTTGCAGATTTGTAAGATGGTACAAGTATCGTAGATATTTATACGATTTATATCAAAGGCTTAAAGCGAATTTTCAAGTTTAACAAATTTATTTTCGTATAATAAAATAGTGCACATTTCGTTTTATATAATATAGAGATATAATTATTTTCACAGATGTTCGGTGCCCGTCCATTCGATCGTTCTCTAATGACACCTGTCAATGCAACTGATATGCAAAAGTGCAGTCCACAGCATAAATCTCATATACTTTCCACTGGTGTTCAATTACGTACGCCGAGTAGCTTCGCCATAAAAGGTCCATATGCTCGTCAAAATAAACAATCCGCTGCTACAGCCATAAATAACAATGAGATCTTAATGAGAAGTACAGAAGAGTACAATTGTACATTGGATGTGTACAACGCCGGTAGCAACATTGCGAGATCGCAACCAATCGAAGGAAAATTGATTTATGAAAACCTTCAACGTGATACCGTATTGCAAGTAGACGAAAAAAATCATGCTGCGGTAGATGACAAAATAGTTAATTCTTCGATTTTCACACATCTCGCTGAGCAAGAAATTGTATCTGCTCGTGAAAAACATACTTGTCGAAATTACGTACCTTACGAAGGAAACGCTTTCGAGCGACACGGAGAGATCCGATCGAATCACGTCGATACCACCATGTGTACCGCAGCACATGATGAAGATATTAATGAGACAGTTTTCTCTGTGGAATCCATTTTTGCGGACGCCCTTCTTCCACCCAGTGCTATACATGCCAATGATATTATCGGAAGCACATTGGACGAAAAGGGATTGATATTTATAAGGGAGAAACTTGCCGATAAATATAATAACACGAAGAATCCAGCAATGTACGCTGTGACTAAATTCTCCCGACCGTTAGACACAGTAAATGACATACGTCCACGTGTTGCTAGAGTTGAGGAAAATAACAGTCCTGCTTGTATCCTGCATGTCGACAAGCCTGTAGGGACGACACTACCTATTATCGCTGGTACGAATTTACTTCCTGCGGCAAGCCTCGTAAAAAAAGCAAAAGAAAAGAGCATTGATCCTTATGAAGCAGAAATAGATAGAAAAATTTTCAATAAAGTCTCTTACTCTCAAATAGTTGACTCAACTATTGTACCTGATAGTATCAAAGGAAACGAACAGAAGTCGCGACGCGACTTGCTGTCGAATAACAAAGCGGCAAATAACGATCCGTTGCAGACGGATACATTTCCATTACAGAAAACGATTTCCATTACGGAAAGCATTATAAGAGATCCCACATCTACGATTCCCACGAATGTCGTTCTATCAACAAAAATAGAAACTCCTGATTCGCAAAATCCTATCGATGTATATACATCCAATCCGTTGCAGGCTAAGTTAAGTAGTTCGGTCCTGCAATCGTCCGTGATATATTCCGAACAATTACAAAATCAAGTGTTCCCTCACATCGTTGGAGATGATATGCAACTTATGAATTCTTTACAAGAGGCCATTGAAGGTTTAAAGATAGACTCGACAAAAATGCACAAGTGCGAAAAATGCCACGACAACATTCGCGTTGGCGACGTAGTCGTAATCGCGGAGAAGGCTAATAACGCGTCCTGGCATCCTGGCTGCTTTGTTTGTTCAGTATGCAACGAATTGTTGGTGGATCTCGTGTATTTTTATTACAAGAATAACTTGTATTGCGGAAGAGATTTGGCCACGTTTCTTGGAATTCCTCGATGTTTCGCTTGCGATGAGGTAAGTGAACCATTTTTCATTATACAATTCTCAAAAATTATATTTTATATACTTAACAATGTTTTTGTTTTCTGCAGTTGATCTTTGTACGGGAGTATACAGTTGCAGAAGGACACAATTATCACGTGAAGCATTTTTGTTGCTGGGACTGTGACATGCCATTGGCTGGGCAACAATATATTACCGAAAACGATCGACCATTGTGCCTTCCTTGTTATCAAAAATCATACGCAAAAACATGCGCTGCTTGTAATATAGTGATTGCTGCTGATCAACAAGGAGTAGCTATAAAAAATTTAAATTTTCATGCAACTCAAGTCTGCTTTTGCTGCTACAGCTGTAAGAGAAATTTACTCAATGGCAGAATGGCGATAAAAAAAGATAAATTGTTTTGCAGTAAAGAATGCATTGCCAAGTTTTTCAACTACTGAATCAATAAGTAAAAAGTCCGTCTTCCAATATGTTATTTTTCTTTTGAGAAAAATACAATTATAAATTCATTGAGAACATAAGTAAGAAATATCAAGTGTTTACTTGCAAAAAAAATTTCCCAAGAATTCCCAAATTTTTTTCAGCTATTTTTTACTCAAAAGTCTAGATAAGATATTAAAAAATTTTCTAATATAACTTTGAAATAAATTGGAATGTAAGCACAAACAAATCATATATTATAAATTAGTACAAAATAGAGATTTTTCACGAGACTACATTTATTATTTTCTATAACTATTTCTATTCTTCTACTAGAAGAATCGTGAAATTCATAATATAGATAAGTATATCAGTAGGAAGTAGTATGACGAAATTATTTTGTTCCACTGGTTTTCTTGATGAAAAGTCGCAAACACATGAGAATGTCACAAATATATGCGGATGTATATATATATATATATATATATATATATATATGCCATACATATGGCTAACAGATTGTCAATCTATTTGCATTATAATTTTAAAGAAAAACGCTGAAAGAAACAAATATTTTTAGAAAGAGATGGAATTTAAAAATATTTCAAAAATTTCTCATTTTCAATAATAAAAAAAAAGGGAAAAAAAAGAAATCCTCTGAGAATTCTAGAATTTTCCAGGTATAAGTAAATATAAACCTTGAGTAAATATAAAAGGTAAATGTGCCATACTAATTATTAAGAGTTAAAAAAAAAATGGAACCGTAATTAGTGTATGTTGTGCTCTATATTCCGTCTCGCACAAATATTGTGTAACATGATAAAAGTACCAACATCTTGAAATTTTACGGCGCAAATCAATTATAATTCAATCATTTATTGGATATAAGCAATTGTTAAAAATATTTAGCTCAATGTGTTTTGATAAAAAGAGCCAAGCAAGTGATTCGTCACAAATTTTTACTTTTAAGAAATACAATAACTTACCAAGTATTCTCTTTCCTTTCTTACTTAGTAATTTAGTTGGATGCATTTTGATATTGTAGACTGAAGAGAAAGATATGACTTTTCCTTACTTTTTATAATTATATTTGAAGATATGAAAGATTAATAATATCTATGTTCTCGATTTGCTTTTTCCAATTGCTGTCTTTAACATTAACTGAAGCTGCATCTAGATTTGAAAATAATTTTTTTTATCTATACATTATACGCTACAAATCAATTTCTAATATGTAGTTAAAAATATAATGTTATTTTTTCCATTTAAGAAAAATGCATCATTCATTTCAATCATTTGGTAGTATAAATCTGATAGAATTTCTTGTTTTTACGTTTAGTATTTTTCTTTATGTACACAATTATCATTATTCGTACCAAATAGGTTATACAAATTCCAGTGTTATACAAATTCCAAAATCACCTTCTTCGTATACAAGCTATCAGCAACTTATCTATAAGTAGGGAATAAGTCAATACAATGAAAATAAAAATTTGTCTCCGTATTTTCACATATCAAAATATCGCGTGTTCACTCAGTCCTGTCACATTATCTTTTCTAGGCACGTAGATGCGCGTGAGGAGCGCGTTGATGGATTGCATTTTATTTATAAATGTAATGCTTGTTGGAGAAGAAATGTACTGATAAATGTAGTGGCTGCTAGAGAAGGTAGCTCGATATAATGACATTTCTGACCAATGTTGTTGATGTCACACGCGGTACATGAAAATTACTATATATAATAATTGATCGATAACTGCACACTATAATGAGAGAAACATGATAACGAATATGATATATGAAAATTTAAAAACACAAAACAGTCTACATAGATGTGGACATAGATGTCTACAGGACAGCGTTCATGTGTACACACACACACACACACACACACACACACGCGCGCGCGCGCGCGCGCGCGCGCGCGACATAACATGATTGGCACTTGTTCTCTGATGTTTAAATACTTAGGCCGGAATCAGATTACGTATTGAAGAATGAAAGATTGAAGTTTGGATCAGAACAAAAGAAGCCAAAATTTCTTTGTCTTCATTGGTGAAATTTCAATCTTTAATCTTTAATCTCAATCTTCAATACATAGTCTGATTCCGACCTTATAGCGAATTCGGCAGACCGTACTAGTGCACACCGAGTGCGAACTTTTTCAGTGCCACGCATTCGGTTTATGCACACTGTTTCAATGCGTTAACATTATCGTAATCGGCAAATGGAAACTGTGTAATGCTGAATTTATATTTAGGCCAATTGAATGAACTGAACGAGTTTAAAAAATGTTGCATCGACATTTCTGACAGTGCAATTTGGCATAGCATTAAAGTAGTTCTGCACTCGCAGAACATGTTAGAGCAGCACTAGAGCGAAGTCAGTGCATGTGTGCCGAATTCGCCGTTAAATTATTTATATTATAATTATATTCAATATTTATGGATCATGAGAGTATGTTATGTCCTCTATTCCGAATCACTATCAACAACAGTTTGAATACGCCTAAAAGTGTTATGTTCTCGATATCGTGATGATGTGTTTGAAAGTATCTTTTTAACAGTATCCATATTTCTTCGTGCGCGCGTAATTCGTCCTGAAATAAAAACAAATTCAATGTTGTGCGCAATGCCCATTATATAATAAATATAATATAGATAGACAAAATTGTAATATTAACCTTCAGATATAATGTTCGACATATCCAATTCAGATACCTCCTTTATCTTTTCATTCTCTTCTCTCACACGTTTACATTTTTCCAACGATGGTTTACCACTAACACCGTTTTTCTTTAATAATTCCTTCAGACGATTAACTTTTGCAGCATTATTCCTACAATCGGCCCAAATGCGATTGTACGATTGAACTTTCACACCAGCAATCTTTAAATATTTCTTCAATTTCTGTATCTGTTTATTTACTTTCTGAAAATTTGACATACAACAGTAAAAAAATACATCCAAGTTTATATCATTGTAGGATCTATCTATTAGAAAGAAACTTACATCATTACTACGGCTTCCCTTTCCACTTTTCACAAATCTCTCTTCTTTTCTGGAATTATTATCACTTTCATCATCTTTATTGGACGATTCTGTGTTCGATAATTCTTCTTGCAGTCCATTCTTAATTTCAGTTGTTTTATTAGCTTTCTCTGCTGCAGTCATATCCTCATCGTCGGACATTAGACATTCGGTATTTTTTGGATGAGAACTTCTTATACCTCGTTTTTTTTTTGATTCGACCGAGCGATGTTTGTCAGTTATCGATTTTCTCGTAGCTGGAGATTTTGTCGTTTTCTTTTTCGTCCGTGGACTATAATCCTCGTCTGAATTGCTATTCTGACTGTCCTCTGATTCAGAAATCTTCAATTTACTAAAACTTGTTCGCGAACCTTTTTTCTTCGCTGCTTTTTCCCTGCTTTTTTCCGATTTGATCTTCAATGTATCAGCGATCTGTTGCAAATCAGGCTTTTCTTCTTCTGATGAACAATCTAATTCTGACTCATTTGGCTCTGCATTCACGATTATTGTCTTCGGTCGTGGTTTCACATCTTTTTCATCTTCACTCTCAGAACTAGATTCTTCCCTGTCACTCGCACATTCCACGAAAAGCTCCAGTCCATCTACCACTTCTGTATCGATAGTACATTTCTTAGCGATATGTCGTTTTTTCATTTCATCCTCCTTGTTATTTTCTTCTCTAGTCATTGTTTTACCATTTTCTTCTTTAATCTCATCTCCTGTTCTTTCTTTCTTGTTTTCAGGAATAGATATCATACTTGCATTTGTAATAGACTTTTGAAATGAATTATCCTATTTTTATTAAGAAAAATTAATTAAAACACACATAATAATCTGTTTATTGTATAACTATTAAAATCATCTAATAAACGGAATGTTTCATCATATTCAAGTTAACTTCAATATTACAAAATGGTGAGTTTAAATATGCTACGAAATATCAGACAGAAAATATATCTAAAAGCTAAAAAAATTGTTATGCATGACAGAAAGAAGGACATTATATAGACAAGATACTTACAAACATAATAGGTAAGAATGATAAAAAAAACACAATATTATAAAAAAAGAATAATTTTCTCAGATTTCATTAGTAATATTGTATATTATTGTATTATTACCATGTTTTCCACAATTTCCTCCTTAATACTTATTTCTCCAGAATTTTTGTTTAAAGTAATATTATTCTCAGTTTTTCTTTCATTTTTTTGCTTCAAATTATCTCCTTGTTTCTCCTTTTTCTTCCCATCCGTGTCTGATTCAGATAGAGATATCTCTTGTACACTTTGCTGATTTTCTTGATACAATTTATATTTTTCCACTTTCACATAGCATCTCTCTATATTATTTTTTTCTGAAATAATTTCAGAGTTCTCGCTCTCTAATATTTCTTCCGACTGTTCATTAAATAAGCATTGGCGTTTTTTAGATAAATCTATTTCATCTTCAGAATCTCTTGGCCTTTTTTTTGAACTATCATCTACAGAAGTAGACGATAGTTGTAGTCTATCCATATCTTCTGCCTCAATTTCACTGTGATCAGATTCTATCATTTTAATAACAATAATCTGAAATAATGGAATATTTTATAGCTAAGCATAATATTATAAATGTTAGATGTAGAAAGCAAATGACAAATTGTATGTATGACTGTTTAGGAAAATGTATGTATCGAAAATTATTACAAGCAAAACATAAATAACAAACTCTCACATTTTAATTTGATAAGAAGAAATTTTATTTCATACTGAGCATTATTTATTTTTCAATGACGAAATGTATCAAGGATATGTTTCAACGATGTATGTATGGATTGATCTTTTTTTTAATTGTGCACATCGAATGACGTTCCGAGTTGATTGGAAAAATTGTTTCTCGTTCACAATCAATGGTGTGGAAAGAGAATTTCAAGTTTTTGCAGTTGTACAAATGATCCAATTGTCGATTTCTGTCCTACAAATTACACATGACACCTCGTGCGGCGAAATGTCGATAATTCTAAATTCTATGTGTATTGCAACTTCACCGCACAGATATTAACACATTAATCATAAAATCTAATGTCATATAAGTGATCATGTAAGTGCGTATGTGGGGCGTGTGTAGGGCATATGTGTACATATAATATATACATACATATATGTATACGTTTGCGCGGCAAAATATACACGCAGTGATCCTGGGTTGCCAGATTTTGGCGCCTTTTATACTACGAAAGTCTAGAGAAATAATATAGTATACGTAACGTATATTGTAGCATTTCTCTAGACTTTTGTATACATTTCTTTTCAAGAATAAGGCTCCTGAAATGGATCATGCATGGGATTTAGCTGTTACTTTATGTTGAAGCGCCTCTATGTCCACAAAATGTGGATCTTGAACTATGTAGTCAATGTCCATGATCCGATCGGTAATGTTCGATTTTTTGGTATTCTTCGCTGTCCACGAATTTCGGTCCGTTAGATAGATAGATAAAAACTGTAAGTTGTTCATAGACTTATAAGATAGACGGAGCATTCATATGAAGCTGAAGACTTGATAGAAAGAGAAAGAAATAATCGTGGAATAATTCTCTTCTTTTCTAGTGATGAATTGATTGGTCGTCGCGGCAAGCTGAGAAGTGGCAACGAAGATAGACGTTTGTGGTTTTATAGTCAAGCTGATTGGCTCCCCACCGCTCACTATAAAAGAGAGAAACAACTATACTGGTCAACTATACTAACTAGTCTGGAGTAGAGCTGTCCTTCAATGTCTTCAGCTTCTCTCGTATAAACGCTCCGTTTATTTTATAAATCTATGAAATTGTTTTGTAACAATTTCATAGGACTTATTACAAGCGCCGATAGATTGATTGTTCGTCTTTGTCTATCTAACGGATTGAAATTCGTGGATGTAGCAAAGAATATAACCAAAAAACATTACCGACCGGATCATGGATATTGACTACATAGTTTAATGTCTACATTTTGTGAACATAGAGGCGTTTCGAAATAAAATAACAGCCAAATTCCGGGTATGGCCGCTCTTAGGCTTCTCTCTGCTAACACAACATTCGATCATATTTGGTATTTGCAATAACATAAAAATTATTTCTGAATAGCCTTGGCTTACAATAATTTATAATTGATTTACAATGAGAAATAATTTACAAAGTTTTCTATACAACTATTGTACATAATATGACATACACATTAAACACTGCGTTTACATTACGTATAAAGCATTAAAATAGATTTTCATTTAAGAAAATAAAAAATATACATGATACATTTAAATTCATTCAATCGTGTAATTTTTTATGCAAGATGATCAATTGTTTTTTGATTACGATGATTTATAGTTCGACCATTTTTTTGTGAACTCTAATACTTTTATTCTTTGTTCCTCAAAACTTTGTCTTTTTGGTTTCCGCCAAAAGTTATGATTCAAATCCAACATTCCTCCTATTATTTCCTAAAAGATAAAAAAAAATTACATATAAACACGCACGCTACGCATATCATACGTATCAATTTATATTTATAAATGAAAATTGAAGTTTTTTCAAGTGAATAATTTCAACAATCGTATCTCACCTTGGCAAAATTTTGCGGAAACATTTCTTCGTCCTCGATCACATGAGCATAGCCAGGATGTGAAGCAAATTCGACCATAAAGTAAGATAAACCATTTGGTATAGCATGACGTATACCTTTACCTCTTAAATCAATAATTTTTTTGTTCATGGACCATTCAGTTTCACACTCCAACAAAGCTTTCTGTAAAACGAAAAAAAATGTTCAAATAATATAAAAGTTGATTTAAAATACGGTAATATCTTTATATTGTAACAAAATGATTTATTCACCTTAAAATATATTGGTGACAACTCGCCAATTTTTTTCGGTAGCGGAATACACTCTAATTGCATATGTGAAAATTTACTATGTGTTTTATACATTTCAAAAAATATCGGATAAAAATCTTCATCCGTAAACATTTTTGTTAATTTTCTTTTGAATTCCTGTAAAAAGAAATGCATCATGCAATTTCATATTGTCATGTCAAAGATCAATAGATGGATAGATTGGATATTAAATACATAAGTAAGAATTACCATCAATCTATCCCATACATCTTCATCTAATTGCAATTGACACGGCACATGCTGTACAGGTGTTAATATACAATGACCAGTACTCAAGGAAGTACAAGCAGGCAAGCTTAAGCAAATCACAGAGTCCATTGTAACGACCATATGCTTTAACATATTTTTCGAATCAAGGCACCACGAACAATTATCCATACATTTAGATAAATTCTTATGTTCTTTAATTGCCTGTGCACGATCCCACTTGTCTTGTCTCGCTTCCGAATCTGTTCGTGCAATTTGTCGTTCAAATGTATCATCCATATGTTCGATATTCTGCAAAGAAAGATATTATTTTCAATTTCCATATTCGTATCATTTTCACTCGGTCAATTTACCTTGGAAGCGAGTTTAGCGAAGATTGCTTCATCTTCAATTGTGGATCTTCCTTTCTCTCGTTGAAACTGCAATAAAAATTTATGTTATGTTGCGTTAAAATCTTTCGAGATTCTAATTCGTTTGGATAATTTACCATTTCTTGTAAAGAATATTTATCATCGTCTGCAAAATGGCGTACTCTCTCGCCGGAGATATGTGTTTCGGCAGTTTTTTTGTTTCTGTAATTTTCCCATTTAGATTGATTTCTGGGTTGTATCGGTCTTGCAGTACCTAATACGTACATTTTTATATGTAATTTCAATGTGGACAATTATTTATTTTCATTTATTTGAAACGAAAGATATGTACCTTTTGCATCGGTTCTTGTGAGAATTACATTCTCCTCTTGTACCTTAATATTACAAGATGTAACATGTTTTCTTGTATGTTCCAACTGGATTTTTAGTTGCGCTGCTAATTCCTAAATAAATAAATCATTCATTTCAAGTAAATTCAAGATGTAAATAAGTTAAAAATAAACAGCATTTAATAGAACAGCAAGCATACATCATCACCCATTAATTCAGCTTTTATAATACTTGCTGCTAATTTATTAATTTCCGCGTCGGTCAAAACACCAACGCCTTTATCTATTCCATTTGTACTATTAATATTCCATAAATTGATTTTTGGCTCAGACACAGGTAATTCGGTAATTAGATATCTCTTTTCACTACTCTTATCTTTTTTCCAATTTTTTATACGACTACTATTGACAGGTAAAGTCTGTTGATAATAATTGTCGTTGTCTTTAGGTTTGCGATAGGTTCGCTTCAATTCTGTGTGATGTTGCAACGAGTAGTCAAGTGTATTATATTTTCCAGCACAGTCCTTACTTCTAGATCTTGATTTAGAACGTTTTCTTATTCTTGGATTGGAAATTCTATGAGAATCTCTATCATTTTTATCATTGTAACAACTTTTATGATACGATTTATTCTGTTGAGTATTTGACATTCTTTCCGCTTCAACTATCATTGTTTGTATAGTTTCTAGAGACTAAAAATTTAATTTTATTTATGTTATTAATAATTAATCTATTTTGTATATATATATATATATATTCGTGTGTGTGTGTGTGTATATATATATATATATATATATAAACGAATTGTTTTTTTAATTAACTTACACCCCAACGTTCGGCAGCTACTTCCTCTAAACATTTATTGTCACGTAAAGCTTGTTCCTCGACACGTCGAAGACTCTTTTTTAGCCAATTTACATCCAAAATCTTTGGATTATCAAATCTATCTGGATTATTTTGAGGTAATCCATCGCCTCCAGCTTTCCAATATGGATTTAATTCTCTGTTACTTTGTCCCGGTTTATTTAAAAAAATCTCTTTGTCTTTTTCTTTTAATTCTTGTAATTTCACATTAGGCTTCGATAAATATGGAATAAAACTTTCCACATTCATCCATTCCTCCCTTTTAATCTGATTTTCTTGTACTCTACAATCAACAACTTGATCTTCAGCCTTTCTCTCTACCCATTCGAATTTTGCGCTATCATCGCTTTTCTAAAAAAAAAATTTGTGTTATATAATTACATCTTATATATTACAAGTTTGTTAATAACTAAAAATTATAAAATCTTTAATATTCACACTGCTTGAAGATGAATACTTCCTCTTTTTCTTATGTTTTTTATTTCCTCTTTTATCTTTTTTCTTTTTAGATTTAAACTTTTTGCTTGATTTTCTATGGACAAATGAGTCAATATCTTCATTACTGTATTTGAGTTTGTCAATTTTCTCCTGTTGAAAAAAAAAAGTACATTCTTGTAGAAAAGCTGCTCTTATAGCATATATCATATGCACTGTCGAAAAAGAGCATTCCGACGCCTCAGATTTACATCGCCGAACACAACTAAAAAAAGGTAATTATTTAGAATAGCCTCCCCTTCCCCCACCTAAAATCTCAATAAAAATCTACTCATTCGACGCGTTTTCATTCAAACGAAAAAATCTGACAAAAAAAAAAACACGATGGTGACCTCGTGAATCGAATTATTAAGCGTTAAAGTTACAGACTTTAGAGGTTAGAGGCTTTTTGCCATTTCGACTCAATATAGCGCTATATATACGTTCTGCTTTAATTACACAAATTCTCTGCTTCACAAACACAAATTCAAATGCTAATGCAAAAAAATTGTATGCTTAAAACAGGCAAAGAGTGTCCGCTTGGAATATTTCTAACCCATGAAGACATTGGTGACGGGAATGTGAGAACAATCTTTTTAGAGCTTTTACTGCTGCAGTAAAAGCTCTAGGCTGCAACTTCTAGACGGTTAGACAAAGTAACAGAGAATTGAATCCATATTGGAAAACTGGAGGCGATTACCCCAAGCGGGTAGGATATGTTATTTTTTTTTGTTCGGGGCGTAGCTCTTCTGAAGAATTATTGTCATCATATTGTCTCTGTGATAGATTTCCTAACCTCAAAAATTATCAACTTTAACTTTTAATATCTCAGATCACGGGGCAGATCACAATGCTTTTTTTTGCCAGATTCTTTCATTTCATGCAAAAATGTATCGAATAAGCTTAATCTTATTGAAGTAGATTGTGCTAAACTATATAATTACCTTCATCAAAATCGAATATGAAGCCCGTATTATAAATAAACAATTTTTCGAAATTTATGAAAGAAAAAAACATTGATTCTTGATATTTATAATAATAATATCGCATTTACAAAATAAAATAAGAATTACCATAATGCTCGCTTGACGTACGCTATAGTCTGAGAAATTTGTCTTCTTTAGCAAAAGAGTAGAGATCCTCTAATAGCTGCATTCAGCGGACTTTTCGGAACATGGAACAGAGGATAAGGAGATTCACATAAAAGGAATAGGGAACAGAGAACAGAGAATAATTTCAACCTATCAGAAATTATGTATTGTGGAATACACAGTTTCTGATAGGTTGAAATTCTTATTTTCTGTTTTCTGTTCCTTTTATTGTGCGGAGCACCTTATAATAGAAGTTTATGGACCTAGGACCAGAGATAAATCTGAGAGAGGATATAACGGTCCAAAACTTGTAACCGCGCACTACTGCCTTCTGACAAAGTGGATATAAATTACATAGCAACGTCCATTTTTCTTAGGATACATTTTTCAAGGCTGGAGATGATAAATCGATATTTGATTCATATGATTGTACTATAAAGTTTGTTCGCGTCGCATGCTCCAACATAGTTCCTACTCACTCTAATGAGGGCATTGGAGTGAGAAAGAGCATTTTATATGAACCAAGTATCGATTTATCATTTCCAGCCTTGAAAAATGGACTACATATAATAGGTATCCTAAGAATCACACGGTGTGGAAAACGACTGCGGAATAGAGAATGCGTCATAGAATCAATCAGCATTATTCTGTGCTATTCCGCACTTTTCCATCACGCAAGTTTTGTATGCATATGGTGCGTCAAAAATATATCCAGAGTAAATATAATTTAAAAACTACTAACTTCATGTTAATAATTCGTTTATTAAAATGAAATATAATTTTTCGAAACAATTATCACTATTGTATTTAATGTTATTGTAGTTAATGTATAGTATTTAATGTTTTACAATTAATATTTATAATCTCATAATAATTTTTTGAACTGCTTTAACGCATTTACTATCATTTTTTTGCATCGTATGAACATAGCACACAAAACTGACGTGATTAGAAAAGTGCGGAAAAGGACACACTAAAATCGCACTAACGTATCATTGTTTTTTTTATGTTGGTATCTATATTTATATGCACTCAGATTTTGTTTCATTTTGTTTCATTCGTTTCGAACATTACGCAATTCTATCATATCAGCATCAAATCATTTTAACCTCTCAAAATACGACGGTTTATTACAAGGCAATGACGCACTCGCTATTCCGCAACATCAAATGTGGAATAGCGCTGAAATAGTTGTTTCAATGACGCATTCTCTATTCCGCAGTTCTATTCCGCACTGTGTGATTTCACCTTAAGAAAAGTGGACGTTGCTATGTAGATGATGTTTACATCCCCTTTGTCAGAGGGGAATATGCGCGGCAGCAATTTGCGGTGTTACAGGTTTTGGGCCGTCATGTCTTCTCGCAGGTTTCTCTCTGCTAAGACACAGAGACATTACATTAGCCTAGTTTCCATCGAGGGAAGCCAATCAACTATAGTCGAGTATTCCCTTGTCGTTCAACTGTAATAGGGGAATACTCGTTTGTAGTTGGTTGATTTTTACATTCTGATTCGATTTAAACCCTCGGTGGAACTAGGCCACTGTATTTCACTGTAAAAGTACTTGTTGGGACGCAGTTTAGTTTCATAATGTAACAGCAGAATGCATTGTAGTCTTCCATTCTATTCTTATAATTATATTTAGCGTATCAATAATAGATATATGATTTTTATTTAGACTTAAATTATATATTTTCAGAATTGATTTTTTCAGAATTTTTGAAGGTTTTATTGGAAAATAAGTACAATAAAAATAACTTTTTGAAAAGTTGGTAACATTGACATATTTTACACGTTCCTATTTAGCTTTTCATTATGTCGAGTAGTGTAACACTTTGTCATGTTTGGAACACTTTGTGTAAGACACAATGTTAAGAGGGGAACACAAACGCTTTGCACACACATGTGCAACACATAACACATAACATATAATAACAAAATGTATCAATCAAATTTCTTTCCTTTCCATGAAATAAAGTACTCAGATTGGTTAAATTTCTTATGCATTATGTGTTATGCGTTATGCAAGAGTCTGTGCTCTTCGCTTTACACTGTGTCATTTGTGTACGTTGAAAACCTTAGTACGTTAGAAAACCTTAAGATTTCAATATCAGGTAACACGGCACCGGAATATACGGCTCTTGATAGGTTGAAATCTTAATATTTACTCCTATTTTTTTGAAAATGCCTGATTATTTCTACTTCCATTTCACAAAGTCAGGCCGCAGCACAGACTTTTGCATGACATATAATGCATAAACGAATCAATAATCAGAAATAATCTTTCCTTTCCTCCCATTCCATTGGAAAAGAAAAATTTCGATTGATTGATTCTCTTATGCACTATGCATTATGCGTTATACAAAAGTCTATGCTGTGGCCATTCGCTTCCTTCCCTTCTCTTCTCTCTTACTTCATGGATGATGGATATCAAGGATAATATAAATAAAGAGACGAAGACGGTGTTTGTGTCGGAAATAAAAATTGAATCAATGATGAACGATACTTTAGAATTGGATTATGCTGAAATGCTTCGTTACATAGGTTTAGTTGTATCGGACGGTAAGCGTCCTAAATTTTTACGTTTGCATTTATGTTACGTGCATTATATTAGCATTGAATCGTCAACGAAAATTCTGGCCAACAAGTTTCACGTGTCTGTCCTTTCGCTCTAGATTGCTTAAGTTCGGAAATGATAGACGGTGTACCGATACGAAAATTATTTATCAGTAATTTGGCTGAAAGGGTTTGTTTCTTTCAATTTTTAAACTAAATTTGTTCGTTGTTTCCTGTTTCTTCTTCTTACCTCGTACTTTTTTCCTTCTTCACGATCGTTTTATCAATAATCATGTTATTTTTCACATTCATGATATGTCTTGTCTCTTTCAAGTTTGTGTTGCCATTTTGGGTGACAGAAAGCATAAAAGGTAGGTAAGAGGCAAAAAGGCAAGAAATAAAAAGTTGTAAAAAATAACAGGAAACAAAGAGCATATTGTAGATGATTACAATTAATGCAGTAAGCATCTTAACATTTTAACAATCTGCTAATACAATTGTACTGTATTTGTTTGATTTGTCTGACGAATTTTATTTTAGACAACTTTCAAGGATTTACGTGACTACTTTTCTATGTATGGAAATGTTGAGAGTTGCTATTTACGTAGAAACCATGGGAAAAGCAACTATGCGTTCGTCACATTTACCAAAGTGGCAGATGCAATAACGTAAGTTTCAAGGAGGCTGTACTAGCAAATTACTGACAAACAATGGTGGTTTGTAACCAATTGTTTGTAGAGCGATGCAAGATGGGAGTAGGAAACGAATAAGATTGCATAATAGAGATTTAAGAGTGATGGCTGCAGATTCTTGGCATCAACCTGACAGTATGGAACAGAGATTGTATAATGTAGGAAAAGAGTTGAATAAAATTTCTGAAAGAAAGGAACAATACGTTCACAAGTATCTGCAAAATGATACTGAAAATGTATCCATCCATATGCTGAATGACGATTGCTTAAGACATATCTTCCTATTTTTGCCAATAGTAGACAGAGTTCGTATAGAGATAGGTGAGTTTAAGCATAAGCATTTTAAAGATTTTATATTTCTGTGAGACAGATTGTATTGGTTTACTTCTCTATACTAGGAGATGGACCTTTTGTATATTGTTTCACCATTATATTTACAGTTTGCAAACGCTGGAGAGATTTAAGCCAAGATTCATGGCATATGATAAAAACATTGGATCTCTCACCTTCTACATGGGGTTTCTCGCACACCCATATGATTCATACAGCTTTACTTCGTAAAATATTGCTGAAATGTGGCAGATTCTTAACGCGAATAGATCTAGATGAGCCACTTCATTATTTAAGTCAAAGCACATTAACTATTATTGGAAAATTTTGTCCTAATCTTACGTGTATCAATATTACCGCATTAACAGTTTGTGCATCAGGTATACGTACATTAGCAAATAACTGTAGAAACATAATCAAATTTTGTTTAGGACCATCCACCTACAGTTGTGATAATGAATTAAAATATCTCTTCAAGTTAAATCAAAACTTGGAGTGTCTTGTGATAACCAGAAATAATATTTTGGGTAAATCCTTATTATGTTTGCCAGAGCAAACTATGCATACAATTATATTAGACCGCTGCGACTATCTTCAGGACAATCATCTTTCAATGGTAAATCAATTCTTTTTCGCTAATTAATCACAATAAGATACATGTGAAAGTTCAGAGAATGGAAAGTTACTTTTCAAAAGTAACAAGTTACTAGTTACTGATTTTTAAAAGTAGCTTGTTACAGTTACTATTACTTAAAACGTAACTATTCGTTACTTTTTTTTAAATCAGTCCATCAATCTAAAAATAAACACTAAAATACAACCAGTTTAAAAAATACTTGTATACTAATATTTTTTATTCAAATGTTGATAAAAGCAATATACAACAATGACATTAACTTTATTTTTGTTGTTGTTTTTTTAAACAATTTCGTAATTCTGAAATACCTAGGATTACAAAATCATTATGTTTTTTAAGGAATAAAAGTGAAACTTTACATAGCAAGTCATTTATCGTCACGAATGAGTCAAGTCTTAATTGAATGAATATACAATATGTATTTGGAATTCTACAATCTATACACCAATTAAATTTTCAATCTTGAAACGCTATTCGGCTGATATTTTTCACAATAAATTTTTCATACTTTAATGTTTTTCAACTTAAATATATTATTAAATTACTTGTAAAATTAATCTGTCATTACTATTTCATTTTTAATTAGGATTGCGTTTAAAGATAGAAAATTTAAATGGCACACAATTTGCAATATTTGATATATATATATATATA